TTTATGTTAAAACATCTCATGATGCAATACTTAGTACATTTCCTACTTTTAGATCTGATGAATTATTCTCTTTTATACTGTCCACTATATAAAATAAAATGTTTTAAAATAAAATAAAATATTTAAAAAAATATTTTAAAATAAAAAATTATTTTAAAAATAACCTATATATTTTTATCCTTAATTTTGTTGTCTTTTTTTAACACAAAAACTAAAGAACACCAGATTTTTTATTTATTTATTTAATATATATATATTTTTTTCATTGAATTGATCAAATACAGTTTTGGCTAAATTGCATTGCTGATTATTTCACAACGTTCCACACCTCTCATGAGCTGGGCATTTTATTTAAGTATATTGAAACACAAGTTTAGAGTTAATTAAACATCAATAACTATGATCTAAGCACATTTCTGAAGAAAATCTCTTTTCATTCGGTTTGGTTTGTACAGAGCCCCACACATAACATGCAAACAAAAATATATTTATCATGGCCAAGAATTAAGAATCCGTTCCCACATTTTACTCATTCATTCCCTCGTTTTAGTAAATCCTGGCTACGCTATAATAGTTTTTTCCTTTTTTTTTTCTTAAAGGGACAGTTCACCCAAAAATGCATTCTGTCATCATTTACTCTCCAAACCCGTATGAGTTTCTGTCTTCTGTTGAACATAAAAGAAGATATTTTAAAGAATGTTGGGAACCAAATAGTTGACGGTAGCCATTGACTTCTATAGAAAACTATAGTTATCAATGGGGAGCAGCAGCTGTTTGGTTACCAACATTCTTTAAAATATCTTCTTTTGTGTACAAATTAGTACCACAATTAATACACCGGCCTGACAAACACCTGCCTGGATGGAGGAATGGGCCAAAATACCAGCAACTGTGTGTGAAAACCTTGTGAAGACTTACAGGAAACGTTTGACCTCTGTCATTGCCAACAAAGGGTATATAACAAAGTATTGAGATGAAATTTTGTTATTGACCAAATACTTATTTTCCACCATAATTTGCAAATAAATTCTTTAAAAATCCTACAATGTGATTTTCTGGATTTTTTTTCTCATTTTGTCTCTCATAGTTGAGGTATACCTATGATGAAAATTACAGGCCTTTCTCATCTTTTTAAGTGGGAGAACTTGCACAATTGGTGGCTGACTAAATACTTTTTTTCCCCACTGTATATTCAGCTTTCAGCTGATGCATAAATCTCAATTTCAAAAAATTTACCCTTATGACTGGTTTTGTGCTCCAGGGTCACATTTGTCTTGTCAAAGCATTTGGAGCATAAGTAAGTGACCCCCAAACACAATCAGTCACAGTTATTTTCCTGAATAGTCTAACTTTGCATAGAAGTTCTGCCGGCTGGGTTTCTTTCAGGTCCGTGGAGCGTGTTAAAAATGGTTCTGGTTGTGTCTGTGTTTTGAGCAGAAGACAGTATGGAGTCGTTCGACAGCGAGAGGAGGCCACACTTCCCACAGTTCTCCTACTCGGCCAGCGGAACGGCCTAAAGCCTCCCGATCTCCGACACTTCAGCAAGAAGATCCCCAACCTCACTGCTCTGAGATCACACGTTCACTTTACCACGTTTACCACGTCTGGATCTGTGATGTTTGTCTGTTTCACGATGCTTTCTGAGGATATGAGAGGGAACACTAACACTTCCAGCCAAATCAATGCTGATTCATTAAGAACTTCTTTAATCTGGCGCTATAGTCGTATTAAAACTAATGTCATGCCAAATATTACTGTCTTTACATTCACTCTATGAACTGACCAATTGAAAACGAACAGCAGCTTTTACTATATATATATATATATATATATCTAGAA